TCTCCAAGTGTATGGACTGCCAGTCTGAATAAAATAAATGACTGGAGGAAGAATGAGGCTATGCAAGTCTGTAAAGCCCTGTAGATATTTTTGGACTATGTGATAAAGTTAAAGTAAGAGATTGATGTGGGGATTTAACTAGTTATGTGGGTCTCTCACTGACTGCCTTTACATCTACAATATCTTTTATGCTTTGTCAATAAGACTCTTTAGTAAACATGAGCTGCTAGATCATGCTGAACATGTCACTGCCCTTTGTACACACTGTCCGTCGTTACTACTGATTAAAACAGCTAGGGAGTCTTCGGTTGCTTTACTAAAAAAGTATGGGAATGCAGGGAGGGAGCGGTAACACCATTTTTCTCCCCATAAAAATGGTTTAAAAAAGACCTGCATAGATGAGGCTACCTGGAACTTGGCTGTTTAAAAAGAAGTAACTTTTATAAACTTATCTACTGTTTAACAGTAGATGTATTCATTCTTTGATTTTTATAAACCTTGCTCATAGGGAGGCATATACTTTGGTGACAGCGATGATGGATTTGCTGTGTACGTGATAGACTTGCCACATGGAAGGTAGGGAAGGATGGTTGGTATTATGGAAGGTAGGGAAGGATGGTTGGTATTAATTAGGCGAGTTTATTTGGTTGCTAAGTGCATAAGGCAGTGTCAAGTACTTAATTGGCCTGTTACAGAGTTGTCAAGTATCTGTAATTGGCCAGCTGTTTTAGCACCGGAGTGACCCACCGCAGTAGTCTATCTAGATGAGTTATGTCCTTCTTATGGGTTACCCCACTCAATGTGCTGCCACCTCAACGTGGTGAGTGGGTGACAACATTTATAGATGGCTAAGAGCAGCATGATTAAAGCGACATAGTGGCAAAATTAAGTAACACATAAGTCAAGAGACCAAACCATTCATTTTAACGATGGCACTATATCCGCGTTTCACAGTGATGCTATGAAATAAAACGCGCGTATTTGATTGCGAAGCCTAAGTGCACACATATAAGTTGTGAGACATATCTTAAATGACATGATGGCAAATTAAGCGCACACATATAAATCGTGAGATATATCTTAAGTGACATAATGGCAAAATTAAGCACACATATATAGCATCGACAAACATATCAAGTGACGAAGTGGCAAGGTGGCAAAAGTAAGCGCACATATACAGTATATAATATCGAGAGACATGTTTGAGTGGCATAGTGGCAAAATAAGCGCACGCATATGGACCACTTTCTTTCCCACTCGATGTACTGCGCATCAGACGGTTGTAGTCGACCCATGATTGTGGCCCTACTACGAGTCGAACCCCGTTATACCGAAGCACTCCCACTTTAATATTTAAATATGATCGTTATTACGAAATTTGATGGTAAACCTCGTTATTCCATTACCAAAGTCCGAGTACAGGATGAATGCTAGTCGAATTTTAATCCCGTGATTATAATGATCGGTTGTAACAATTATAAAGTTTGTCATATAGTAGTGCTTTCACGCAATATCAATATCTAGTATATTGATTTGTGATAGTTCATTACTAACTGTTGGGAATTATCTCTTTTAAAGATAACGAATCGTTTGACAATACTATTACCATGTTGAAGAAAATTGAACGCTGCTTCAAGTGCAGTTACAGCATCTCTAGTCAAACAGTGGGAAGACATGAGTCATGTCCGATCGTTTATTTATGACTTTATATATTTATAATAATGCAGAATCGATTGAACAATTTCTTGTCGAGATGTTGACATCGTCTACTATGCAGATAGATTACAATGAGCTGAAAGTCTTTTGTTCATTGAAAAAGGAACGTAGTGTTACAGCCAAAAGCAATCTAGAATAAATTTATTTTTTAGTAATTAGTTCGACTTATTCTTTTCCTGCACATTTGTGTTTATTTTGCTGTTTAATAAAGCATTATTTATGAAAGCCTCAGTATACCGCCAGAGTGGTATAATTTGCATTACTGTATTCCGTGGTAGGGACTTTAGCCACCCAAGGGATTAAGTTCCGTAGGTCAAGAGTTTGGACATATACGCACTGAGATACCTCAGTTTGTGATGAACGTTATTAATGACCAGGTTGTTAATAGCGGCTAACAAGTATCCATTCGCAAGTCTGGTTATTATTATAAAAATTTCTGCGTCGATATAATCGGAATGCTATCTTAGATAATTATAGACAACAAGTTCAAATATGTAAACAATTTGAAATCAAATCGCATAAGATGAAGTGACTTTAATTGATTTAAATACAAATATTGTTTATGTAATAACGTCTCGTAAATTTCCATCTCATTTACATGAGAAATAAATCGTATTTGATTAAAAGAAGACCTAATGGACTACTGCTTACTATTTGTAATCGCTTTTAGTAAATTGCTTCATGTACATTATACCACGTCATACAGTGACAGATATAGCGAATTTTTTTGATAGTAAACGTTTCAGTATTACCATTTGACTGTGTCAGATTTAATATCGAGACTTTGCATAGTAAATGTTTCAGTATTACTATTTGACTGTGTCAGATCTAAAATCGAGACTTTGCAGATAGAGTGAATATAACCCATTTGTGAACGATTCAAGCAAAAGTAATCTTCGAATCAAAGATGACTATCTAGCTTACCAAAAGTCTTCGTTGAGCTTAATAAATTTATACCACTCGAATCGTTAATTTTTATTAATGCATTACGAACATTATGCTTACATTGCGGGGTTTCCCCTACTCTCAAATACAGCATCATTATTGTAAATTTATATACACCTCACCTGTGATACTTTCTCCAAAACCACTAAAAACTTGGCTTATTTTTAACAAACCACCCCCTAAATAAAATAAACCGGGATTCCAAATAATGTAATTTTATTCTTCATTCCGAGATTTACGTGCCTGACGGCATTTAAGTTATCTAAAACACATGGTTTTCTTTTTTCAATGCGGCCAAAATAGTCACATTTATGTAGCACACGTCTGGCTGTACTCGTAAATTAAGTTTGCTAATATTCGGAGATAATTGCATTCTTATGATATCGTTTTCATAACGTAATAAACTAATTTATGTAATAAAACACGTTGACAATAATCTCTAGCCCTTATTGCTATGATAGCAATAGACAACAGCCCAATTTATTTATAGTGCTAATAAGCACACAAAGTTCAGTTACTGTACATATATTAATATGATCTGCCAATTAAAGTCGATCGGTAGACACAAAAATAGACTTCGTAGTTGACGCATTTGCCACATTATTGAATTAGTACAACAGGACCTCTATATGGACTAGCGCTGTCAATAAAAGTAACCTGGAAATATTCCTTCTATAATCACATTCATAATATAGATGATAAAATAGCTGGTGGAACGTTTGTTATTACAAGTACGTGTATATTCTAGTTTCTATAAACTGAAGTCTCCATAACTTGCAACACCTTTGATTGCCCAAAGCAGAATTCGCTCTCAGAATCCTTGGAAAGTCCCTAGACGCGCCTACACCGTGTTAGCAAGAGCAGGGAAGGGAAGAATCGATCACATAGTTAAGGCCTGTCCACGTGGGGCGAAAATGCGAGGACAGGTAATACAATGCAGAAAAAGGCTGATGCAGGCGTGCAGACGGGACATCCAAGCAAGGCAGTAGGAACTGGCCAACAAATGCAAACTGTTAATAAACAGAGCAAGAATAATAATGATAATGACTCATTACAAGAGGGACGTTTCCTATCATACCATAAAAATTGTAAAGGTAACCGGTTCGAGTAGCGAATAATTCATCATGTAATAGTAATAGTGGTTTCTTGTGTAGCATCGGGTATATCCTTTGACTACATGCAGAAGCTAACCTTTCCCGTAGCTAGAATAATCATATGAGCATCATAATTATTTCTTGGCATAGTAAACTCAATTAGTAGAGTATGCGAGTGCATACTTAAACCCCCATTTGCATACTAATACGTACCTGTTACAATGGAAATGTACGATTTAATGTCTCGGCATTAAAAAACGAAATCTTAGCACTTACACTACTACTACTACTACTACTACAATACATTAACTGGACATGCATATCACTGGGTATGACAAAATGTGAGGTCCCAGAAGTTACCCCGGAAATCCTTCCATGCTCGCTTCTGCTAAACTCTTATGAACTTAAATATCGATTAGTCTATAAAGGGGAGGAAGGAGGATCCTATTTGTGTCTTGCTGTATTTCAATATGCGACCTTGTCCTCAAAAAGATTGCTTCATCATGCTGAAAAATCGGATTTTCTTGTTGTACAATTATGTGTGCTACTATTATTTATTTAATACTTAATAGATTAGGCTGTCGTGTTGAACCACTAAAAAGGAAATAGTTTACATTATTATATCCTCCCTCCACTTCTCACCATCGCTCTCTCACTACATCCATACCGACCCTTCCTTTAATACCGTACATCACATAATACTATGGCTGTATTTGCAAAATCAAGGGGTGGTCTACCTGGTGGTCGGCACAAAAAGAAAAATGGTAACGTTAATCACTACTCGAGAGTACTCACATTACCCGTTTACTCACTTCTCATCACTCCCAACCATCTATTTCAACAATCCGCATCTCTCAACTCTTATTAATCTGCCAAATTGCATTCAATTACTAACAGACTTGATATTTGGACTAACGAGGAAACAACTATCACTTCTCGTTCTCGTGATTCAAAACTCGACCCTGGTGCTAATGATGAGATATTCGAGAATCAGACAGAAACCGGGGGAGAACATGTACATAGCATCAACTGCAGTTTTTCTTGCCGAGATACTAAAAATTATAGCATGTTTGGGTGTCATCTGGCATCATGCGAATTCATTCGAAAGATTTGTCCACACTGTACAGACCGAAATTTTGAACAAACCAAAAGAGGTAATGAGGATGTTGGTACCATCAGGATTATACGCACTTCAAAACAACCTTCTTTACGTCGCGCTGTCCAATTTGGAAGCTGCCACGTTCCAAGTCACGTATCAAATGAAGATTCTATCTACTGCCGTGTTTTCGGTGATTCTATTGCATAGATCACTCAGCAAGGAAAAGTGGTTTGCATTAGTGTTGTTGATGATTGGCGTAACTCTGGTACAATTGCAAACCGTGAGTACGGTCAAAGTTGTTCCTACACCCGTCGCTGGTGCTCACGTTCCCCTACCCAAGAATGAAGAAATGGTCGACGGTGGAATTACCAAGGATCCAATGTCGGCAACCGAACTTCTCTTGGCCGCTCAGAATCCACTCATAGGTCTTATAGCCGTTATTACCTCTTGCATCTCGTCAGGATTTGCTGGCTGTTATTTTGAAAGGATTCTCAAGGAGAGTGCGAATACGAGCATGTGGGTACGGAATATTCAATTGGGTATATCTGGTGCATTATTCTCTTTCCTTGGCATGGTGTTTTATGATCGTTCAGAGATCTTGGAGGGAGGGTTTTTGCAAGGTTACGACAGCCTCACTTATATGGTAGTTGCTAACCAGGCTCTAGGTGGATTGCTTGTTGCGATCGTCGTCAAGTATGCTGATAATATTCTCAAGGGCTTTGCGACGTCATTGTCTATTATTATTTCTGGTATTATTAGTTCGTACTTTTTCGACTTTCATCCAAGCTCGCAATTCACCATCGGAGCAATGATTGTCATGGTATCAACGTATCTTTATGGTCAAGATTATAATCAAGAGAAAGAGAAAGAGAAATCCAAGCCGGTGAAACAACATGGCGATGATGTAAGCGAAGGTTCTGTTTCTCTCTTGATGCTCAAGTGACTTTAGATATTCTTCTTTTATTATTTTACTATTATTATTTCTTTCTGCGTGTTATTTATTACTTGAATGTGTATACGGGAGCAAGTTGTTGATGCATTATGTAAAAGTATTTGGACATTCATTTTAAATAACTTTAATTCCAGCGTCAGGGATAAAAATAATCAATTTCGTACTTGTATAGAACTCTCACTATTTGACAATCAATAAATCATCGATAGATTGATAGACAAAAATGGTTTACGATAACATTTGCCATTGAGCAATCATGATATAGAGATCGAATTGCTCTTTCTGATATGTCGGTTTGCCGGGTATTGTAATAAGGATAGAATTTACACAAAATACACAAAATACACAAAAGTGACATAAATGACAGTATTATTATTATTATTAAACGATGGTTTATGTCGACAGGATGATAATTTGCCATCATTGCAAATAACTTTCAGAGATGAAGGCGCGGGACGAATGCATTCGTGTGTAGAACAAGCGAATCGCAGCAACACAGATCATTATTGCTGAGTTGACTTGCATATGTTGTATACAGTACACAATAAAACGCGTGCAGGTCAGCAAGAATTTTGGATATTTGTCACTATGCAAGCACCAGCTTGGAAGATATCATCTTGTTTAAAAGGTAAACTTGCCAATAGAATTTGTAATTTCATCAATCGATTTTACAATTAATTCCTGTTTGCACAAAAAAGCATAGCTCGCTTCATGGAAATTTCAGACATTGCAACTCTTCAGCGAATCAAGTTCTAACGTAAAAATTACGATAAAGTTATTGCTTGTGCAACATTACTCTGCCATGGCCTTTTTAATTCGAGAAACTTCATTTGGGCTTCATAGACCGGGGTTTGTCTTTTTGCGTTGGTTCAGCGCAAACGTTCATCAACGTACAGATACGACAAGAGTAGCAAAAGGCGCAAAGATAAAAACTGGTGGGAATTCAGCATCGAGTCTTTCATCAACCATATCAAATCGAAAGAAATTCCGAGCAACAAGTTTCCCGACATCATTACTTTCACAAATTGAGGCCTTTGGGCTCGCCAAGCCACTTACGGTCTCTGGCAAGTATGGGACCAAAGTGGCGATAAATCGCAAGACAAAGGTTCTAGAAAACTTAAAAAAGATTGATATTGATCGGGAAAGGCTTGAGGTATGACGTATTTTTATTTGGTGCATCTTTCGTTTACTATTATGATAAGCATTTCTATTAATTTGTGCGTAATCAAGTTACCACACTTTTATTTTTTCGCAGGAGCAAAGACACCAAATTCGTTCCCTGTACCAGATTTACCAGAGCTGGCTTTTGTTGGTACAACATCGCTTTCTCATCTACTACCCCATGTTTCGCGTTCTAATTCTAACGGCTATCTCTCATCAAAAGGTCGATCGAACGTAGGAAAATCTTCCTTGATTAATGCATTAGGCGATAGTCGCAGTGCGCGTACGTCGACCAAACCAGGATTCACGCAGCAGATTAACTTCTACGCCGTTGGATCATTATTTAACATGGTAGATATGCCCGGTTACGGATTCGCCTATGTTAAAGAAGAGGAGAAAGTCAAGTGGAAAGAATTGGTTAGTAATTGGTTTGTGGGTTTGAAAAATTGCTTTGTTTTTGATTTGCTATATTGTAATTATATTAATGAGCAGATAGAGTCCTATATATCTCAGAGGGAACTACTGCTAAGAATTTACGTGCTTTTGGATGCGAGACATGGTCTGAGTGTTTCTCTTTGCAATAATTTGGTTATTTTGGAACGGTTGTTGACTCTTTTTTTCTTTTTCTTTTTCTTTTTACTTAATAAGGAATCAAGTTCCTAGATAAAGAGTTTCTACGAACCCTGGAACAGTCAGTTCTACCTCTAATTTTTACAAGACTTTTTTTCGCTCTCTATTGGACTTTACTCTTGACAATTTTCTCTTATCTTTCTGTAGACATCAAGTTGCCTTTCAAATAGTCCTTACCAAGTGTGATCTTGTAACTGCAGTCGATCTTGCACGCAGACATGTACTTGTTGAGAAGGGGCTTGCGGAATTCCGCCATGCTGTGGACAAGCCGTTAATGGTCTCGTCCGAAACAAGCGCAGGCATCTTCATGATGAGAAAGGAGATGCTGCGACTGGCAGGTGGATTGGATCGCGCTCGTAAGTTTGCAAGGAGAAATAAAGTATCTACAGAAGACGCTGTTGGGACGATGGATAGTCTACGAGGAAAAAAAACGGAAGAAGAATGCACTGGCCAGAATAAACGTAAAAATACGAATAAAGTGCGTCGTTAAAACAGAGATTGTGAGACTTTATTTGACTACTGACTTGATCTCTAAAAAATCAAGTTTTTATGGCTATGACCAATTGTTTTAATAGTAGCATACGTACTTTAATTAAAGTGTTTAAGCTGCTACAAGGGCAATTTATTAATTATATGGCTAAACGTGTGCAATGTAGAAACATCGTCAGTAAAGATTGTGGACACACAAAACTATCTATTATTAGTAGGAAATTAAATAAATTCAGGAATCTAATAAATGATTTGGCATACCAAACATATGCTATATTTGACGGTGGTGGAGTAACTTGGCATAATAATAATGTATATCTATCAGTGCTCCGTTGCCGCGTCTATTGATCGACACGTGACTGAGATGAAGAAAAAACCTATAAAAGTTCCTCGCGGATGTAATTGAACCTATCTCAGCTGTAAGCATGGACAAAATCTCATTGCGCTTTTCGCTGTTGATTTGAAAAAAAAAACAAAACAAAACTATATCCTTTATTAACCTTGCTAGACGAGATAGTATAAGGAAGGTACAATGAAAGAGTGAGAATTTAAAAGTAACACTGAAATAGTGTTTTTTGATGGTAAATTTTTATCAGACTGCAAATCGATAAATGCAAGTTTTACAATAATTATAATTATTGGCACTTAATACTCATCGTGTACAATAACGATAGCGGCAATAATAACGAAAGGTTTTCTATGCAGATAACAGGTGCAAGGATGGCTTCATTTGGTGGTGAAATATTTCAAATGCAAATGTAACGCTTACATACAAATTGACTTTGCAGCCAGTCACCTAGCATTTATTCGTAGCTTTTACTGATAAAGAACGCAGCCTGTCATATTCGATCTATTTAACAAAAAACATTATACCGATTCTGATAATAAAAAAATGTCTTTTAGTTTGTCGCTCAACTAATCGGTGGAGAATACTAACGATAATCAAGGCGTGAAATACTGTAAATCATTCCTTCGTCGAATTTACAATCACAAATAAACCGGACGTAATTATCCCGATAATAGCGGGGCATATGCTGGCAATTCCTAAACAGGCATCGAGCTGTTTGATTACAAATAAAGAAGCGGTGATGGGGATCATAACACGATTGCAGCGCTCAACCAGTTTTGAACCCTGTTCGCTTTTGCCGAGCTTATAACCGATAGGATTTATACTTGTTACATGCGCCTAGATGTTTTCAGTGCCCAACTAATCCAGTACATACAGTAAATAGATAAGAATGCTAATTTAATGCATCCCTTCATGTTAATCACGTGATATTCATCAATGTTTTTGTGCATTGAATTAAACATGCATCGGTGATTAACATACTACGCCATATGAAATCGCGCGTCGTGATAGGTTCAAGTCCACATGAAATGTTTTAAAGCATTTCGAATTCCGATTTCCCAGGGTCTAGCGATAAACTTAGGGTACTCAATTGTGTGCAGAATCTTTCAAGTAATAAACGTTCTGTAGTTGTTACTTGTAAAGTCTTTTATACCTGCGCGCTGTTTGGCCGCCAATGAGTACAAAGATGGCGGCAAGCAACTACGAGAGCTACGTTGAAGAGCTTTCAACAAACATTCTCTGTCTGGTATGTATGCGCTTGGACTTGGCTAGTGCATAACTATATAAGCTCGACAAAGTCGTAGCTGTAACACCTCAACGATCGTATAATGTGTCATGGATAAATATATGCTATATATAATTCAGATCGTGTTTCTTAGCCCTTGTTTTTGGTATTTAATGCACGTTTAGTGCATACAAATGCTAGCAACACTAAACACTACGTATTCTTTCTTTCATGCATGCAGGCTGGCCTGGCGAAGGTCAGTTATAAAACCTTCACTTACACAAGTTCCACGGAAGATCTACAACAGTTCTGGAAGATAACAACAGGACTGCCCTCAGAGTCCCTCGAAGGGATTTCCGATCCATTAATAAGGGCATATGTTAGTCTGCTCGCTGCAGGGGTTCCATGCGCATGGAGATGGCAAGGAGACTATAATTTCCTCTCGTTCGGAGAACGTCTGAATTGCACAAGAGAGCTCTGGGTATTCTGGTTGAATCAAGGCAACAATAGGTGGATGGATTCCGTTCAGGCATTAAAGGGTAAGCACCCATTGACGTACTAATGATAGTGATTGATGCATGTAGTATAAAGAAACGGAGTTGGGGTAGGATTTGGTGGGAACTTTTGAATTATAAAGGCTGTTTATGACTAGCAATTGAATGTGAATGGAAGAAAGTTGAATGACAGACTCGGTTTGCTAGAAGATGGTTATGAGGGGGTTATGAGGGGGCTATAAGCGTGGTGGCTATTATCGAATGAATTTTAACATAATCCTTAATGTTTATATTATTCCATTCATTTATAAACAGAGGAGAGCGAAGGGTCTTTTTCTTTTGAGGATCTTGAATCTTCAGGTCTTCAATATGGCCTTTTCGTAAGATCGTTGAAGAATCTCATCAGCCGGTAAGTCAGGGAGGGTTATTCAACTGTAATTCAACAATACATGATCAAGAAAAAATATTGGAAATATTTACAGACCGGAGGAAATTTACAGGCAAAAAATAAATTAATAAATTATTTCACATGGTCATATCATATTGCTAATTGTTTACAATAACCGACAATTTTTTTTATTCAATAGGGGTTTAATGAGACACGGTGCTGTTCCTCTCGGAGAGTGGCATCTGGCTTTATCCTCCCTCGATAAACCCATCTCCGAAGGAACTCCAGCAGTCCGTGTGAACGTTAACTTATCATCAACAAATTTGCTTGTGGCTCCTTATATAGTGATACGGCATGTTCGACCGCTAGAACCCTCAGACCTCAAAAAAGATGGAACACGGATATTGTTGGCTCCTCTCGGCAAAGAAGGATCTATTGTGGGTAGTGGCGCGTCTATACTGAAAGAAGAAGCTTCTGCAATTCTTGCTGAATTTCAGACACTGGCCGGATTGTCTTTTTCCAGATTGAACTTACCGTGCAAATCCGACCTTCCCACATTCTGCATTGTACGGTTGGTTGTTGGCGAAGTCACAAAGGAAATTCCATATCCAACCTGTGCCATTTTTGTGATATCAGGGGTTAACGTAAGGGATCAGACACGTTTAGCCGGGCTTGGACACAAACTTAGCTGCTTAGAGCAAGATTTTCGAGATCAGATTGGAAACTGGCTTCGGATCTGCTTGGAACGTGGCGTCCCGACGACACCGCATCCAAACAATGAAAAACTTCACAAGTGGAATATTCAAGAAAGTCAAGCCTTTTCAAAATATTCACCCTCCCTTAAACAATTTGACGACTCGGTATTACCAGACGAGGCAACAAAGATGGATTTCTTCAAGAGTGAACGTCCTTGGCGAAGAGAAGCACTTGCAAAGGTGAATCTTGATACTCAACCTCCATCTAAATGGTATCAATACGAGGGGGCTGTATATTATGTAGAGAGAGAACGCCGAAGATACGGAAGCCGACCGGGGACAGACCTGACATACGCATATAACCAGAATTCTATTGGCCCCGAGACGACTATGACCCCAAACACGCCAGGAATGGCTGGTGGTTCTTTGAATATGAAGTCACCAAGACAGCCATTAACGCCTGGACCATCGAGAACTGGGACGCACTCAACGCCGAATGATCAAGAACCACCCGCTTACCCATCCCCTCCCGATGTAGCGCCTTCTGACGAACCATCGACAAGTCCGTCGATAATTCCCTTAGACAGTACACGAATAATTAACGGGGATTCATCGGCAGTTATGGACGTATCTAATTATCACTTTTCGGATTCAGATGGAAATATTGAAGACGAAGACTTCGACTGGTTCGACGATCCGACTCCGGCTCCACCATCGACATCAATTGACACGCCCGCAGTTATACAAGTATTAACACCGCAAAAGGCTGAAGAAGTACGAACAATAGAGCAATTGACATATGGTCCAGGGAAACCGAGACCTTATACCCCTCCTGAATATACACCACTTGCGTTCAACTATTCTGTAGACAGTTCAAAATATTTGAGGGCTATATTTAACAACCCGCTGAAGAGAAAACGAACAGAAGACGAAACCGTATCTGACTCATGCATTATGGACAATTTTTCCTATACACCTTCCTACGTACCAGAATGCTTTAAAAAGAAACAGAAAGTTGACGAGGCAGAGGATACAGCTGAAGATGCAACTGAAGATACAGCTGATGATAGTGGTGAAGAAACAGATGAAGATACGGTCGAAAGTGAAAGCGAAATTACCGTAGACGATGCAGAGGAAGTATCCGATTCTACAGACATTATTTGTGCAAAAAAAGAACATTCACGTGAAATGCCTGATGCAGCAGATATAGAAGGTGAAAGTTGGGCGGTGCTGAGCTGTTCCGAGGACGAAGAAGAGCATAAGGAAGAGTCCAATCACATTCGTAAACTTCAAATGGAAAATTGCAGTAGATTTATAATGATGTTTGATTATCAACTGCTTGAAGAAAAACCACCAATACCTCAGTCGCGTAATATGCATAAGATCAAGGAAGAAGAATCACGAAAACTCTGCGAAGCAAGTACTTGTTTGAAATACCAAGTGGTGCTTGCACCGTATCCGTTTGCCGGAGAATATAAGACCGGGGAGACAACACGAGTAACAATAGAGAGAAATCGACTCGCTATGGAGGCTGTAAGGGGCGGAGTGAAGTCGACGGTTGCACCGCCAGCAGAGGCAGCAGGGGTATTTAATTTAATGGTCGATGTATTGAAAGACATGTCTGAAACTATAAAACCTTCAGAGCAGATGTCGGATGTATCTGTACGTGGACCTTTGACTATTTCCGAGTTTCAAGCCCTCAATGAGCAGCACCGATATCCAAATTCAAAGTTTATTTCCAAGACGAAGCAGCCGGAACCTAATCTTCAAACGCTTGGCGAGCCACAAGTGACAATAGCACATGACAATGACGATATAGTTTGCGAGCGATCTATCCTTAAACATTGGAC